TGCAAGAAGAAGTCAGTTATAGAAAAAATATTCACTTCTTGAATATAAACACTCCATTCACGGCGAGTTTCTGTGTTTTCCACACATAATAATTATTATATAAAGAATATACAAAAAAAATTATCTACGTTTTCCAAAGTTTGAGCGGAATTTTCTTTTGGCGTGTATAGAACGATCGATGACAAAACAAAATTTCTTTCCAAGCCATTTACCCGCAAAGAAAATTCCTCTTCCTCGCTGATGCCGAGACATCGATTGAACAGAATGACACGGCGGTAATTCGAAAGTAATTACGACTTTCCGATCCCCCTGCCCCACCCCCCAATCTACCCCCCGACCCACCACCCCCCTCAGACTCGAATAAATTCCCTTTCGCGAATTGATGAGTCTAAAAAGTAAATAGAATTACCACCGTTTCCTGCGGGACCGGGATTCAAGGTAAATACGCTTTTCTGCGCATCTAAGAGAAAATAAGAACGAAAAGTCGTTACTCTTGGCTGCATTGGAAACTTCAGGAAAAGTCTCAGTGACGGTGAAACGAAAGGGGAACCAAAGGTACAGCGCAAATGTCCACTAATTATTGTACCGACCCAATGGTACGCTTTCCTAGAAACTATGGATTTCAAATATGACGCGATTGCAAGGTACTACCTTAGAACAAACGTCACTAGATGGCGAAAGCTTGAGAACACCTCGAACACCTTTATTACTCCATATTGGAATTTAAAATTGTAATAATGCCCATACTTTGTTCAATGCTTCAATGCTTCTTGTTCAAATTCGTACGAGAAGAATAAGACTAGTAGTTTTAAACCTACACGCAGAATTACTAGATTATATGCCAAAGGGAAGAAAACTCCAGGTAGTATCTATATATCCCTTCAATAATACCATCAAATACAACAGGAATATTACAATTTCAAAATAGGAGAACGATCTTGTTGGGAAGAATCGTAAAATTAAAAAGATGGCAAAGAAAATTAATGATCAAAAGAGACAGTTGGGAACTAAAGGGCGCTGAAAATATATTGAACGAAAACAGTGTCGATTGGTTAGAAATGAAATCTTAACCTGAAAATAGTGTTTCATTCAAACTCATGAATCAAGCAATAACATTGTTGTTTCATCGAATATAGATTAATTTTATATTCAAAACATAACGAACATGAAATATCAAAGTATTGAGATTTTTGTAGCTGGAGCAAGCGGAAAACTGATTTATGAGGTATTAACTCAAGGTTTTGCTGAGGTCAGATTGATTTTCTGAAACAGTGATCTAAAGAACACATCAATTGCTGATTTTGACTCTACAATAATCAAACAATAAAACACTATTGACTATAGGTGCCTATACTCAGGGACTCACAACTTGTGAGTACGGGAATGGTGAACCCGAGGTACCCTAGCCGGATATTCACCATACTTCAACTTGTCTTGGGTGATATCCTCTTCTCTCTTTCTTTTTCAATCTATCTATCGGCCTTTCTTGGCCAACTTCTCTTTTCCTCCTCCCCTTCAAGCCCAACCTCATCAAGTGGTGTGGGGAGGACAGACCGCGGCCGCTCGACGGATGAAGCATTTTGGGACCATCTTTGCTATCTCCGGGCCAGATGGGACAATTTGTGGACATCTGTGGCAGGGATGAGGCGATTTGCTGATGTCTGTCTAGGTAGCCGAGGACTGGTCAACGAGGCTCTGGCAACCTAATCCAAGCTGTGGGAACCCGTGGTGATGGATGAATGGCACCGAGGTATGGTGTCGCTAACGGGGCCTCTGGGAAACAGGGTGACATCTCAGAGCAAGTAGCCTTAGCCCTGTGCAGGGGGCACCACAGGGCTGGACCAACCCCTTTCCCCGTCACTCGTAGGAAAAGGAAAACTTTTGGCCTTCTTCGTAGACGAGAACAGGGATCAGAAGAGTAATCTTCAGGAACCTGGACGAAACGGGTCTTCCATATTGAAGTGACCCTTAATAAGTACCATGAGTCGTATATGGTAAAATTGATAACGGCATGTAGGTAAGATACAATAGGCCACTAGGCCTAAGTGTCGTCGGAGACTTCGGTCAGACGAGCCTACAAACGGGGTGGAGTGTTTAGTGGGTATACCTGGAGTCAGGGGACTCCCACACTATCATATGGGGGATTGGACCCATATGGTGTCCATAAAGGATTTCAACCACCTCGATGGGAAAAAAAGGTACCTACCTATACAGTTTTTTAGTTTATAGAAGATATATACATTTATAATTGAACTTCATGCACTTCTCCTACTTCTATAGACCATCTTTGAATGCAACTAATAAATGAAGTGCTTATAATTATTATGACAAGATACTATTATAAAGAAATAATTTTCAGAAAGTATATATTATCTGTTTTTCACTTTATCTGATATTCACTAGCTCCATATAAATGCTCCATACCTCAAAACACATATACCTGGTACCGAACCTGGTACATAGCCTGGTACAAAATTTCAGATAGGTATTCCACTCTGGTACATGGCCTGGTACAAAATTTCAGATAGGTTTTCCACTCTGGCTACTGATCCATCCAAAATTGTCTTCGCATTTCGAATATTGAAGGTATTAATATAATTATGAATATCCAAACCTTATAAAGTGAACCAAAATTGACCATAAAGTTCTTGGTAAACAACATTTTCATGACATCTCGCTTTGAGGTTGACATCTTGTCATCTTCATCTTACTGGCGGTGACGTCATGAATGACTGTTTTCCCCCTCACCGCACTTTCGATCGAGGCAACCGTCCTCTACAATAATCATCCATTCTACCAACATTGGTACACCTTTTTCAGAATATTCAATACTTGTATTTCAGAAAGCGTCAATTGTATTTACGAATAGTCATTTGATTTCAGGAAGAGTCTATTGTATTTCCCAATAGTCAATAGAATATCAGAAAGCGTTATTTGTAATTCAGAAAATATCATTTGAATTCCAGAAAATGTCAATTGTATTTCGAATGATATTTCCTGAGTTACAAATGACGCTTTCTGAAATTCATTTGACTGTTCTGAAATACAATTGACACTTTCTGGAATACAAATGACAAGTCTTGAATACAATTGACGCTTTCTGAAATTCAATTGAGGTTTTCTGAAATACAACTGGAAGAGGTGTAGATCCACATGAAAGATGCGGCGTCTTCGAAATGGGTGATATACCTAGAGAGTTGAGCTGTCCCAGTTGTCAGCAGACCCAGAGCGGCTGATGAGGCCTGGTGGGCCGAAACAGTACTGACTCGCTCCTGCTGACGATTGAGGCAACTCGGTTCATCCTAGTGCATGGTGCTTGGCATTTCGGAAATATCTGGCATAGTTCCTATGATGGCACACCAACAATATTTTTCTTCATAGCGATAGGTGGGGAACAAAATATATCTGAATGCAATTATAACCGAGAAGCCAGTTCTCTGTTGAATGCGACAGGGCGTACGTGCCGTTTTTAAGTCATCACACGCAAATTCATTATCAGGGTGAGTATGAATTTAAAATATATTGATGAACTAATTTCAATTGCATCCATTCCAACCGTAATTCAGAAGTGGCATTTCACTGTATTTTTCAGTTATGTTTCATTCATCGTTTTTGATGGGCGAAACGATTATAACTCCTATATATATTTTTATTTTAATTTTTTTCATAAAACCGTATTCTGCTTATGATGGCATAAATACGAATTGCCAATGATGGTATACTATGCCAACATAGGAATACATGATATATAGTCTTCCATTTCATATTGAATACGAATGCATTTTCCTTGTTTACAGATTCAAGTCTGCGATAATGTCTCAATCAAAAAAACCTAGACAGAGTTGGCAGGAGGATGATATGGCTAAAGCTATGGATAATATACGTCGTGGAAATATGGGTTGGTACCTAGCATCTAAAACGTTCAATGTCCCGGCAACTACTCTAAGAAGACGAGTAAATAACCAAAGAGGAAGCTCTAAAGGGTATCTAGGTGGTACTAGACCAATTTTTGACAATGAGACAGAAAACCAAATAGCAGGTCATATAATTGAACTCGAAACCAGATTTTTTGGTCTAACAACAAAAGATTTGCGATGTCTTATGTATCAATTAGCTGAAAAGAACAATCTCAACCACAATTTCAATAGAACAACTCAAATGGCGGGATGGAAATGGTTACGTGGCTTCTTAAAAAGGCACCCTCGAATTTCTCTGAGAAGACCAGAAAACATCTTTGGCTAGAGCACAGGCCTTCAATAAAAGGAATATAAAGGCATATTTTACTGCATTGGCTGCCATTCTCGACAGATATAATTTCTCCCCTGAGAACATTTTCAAAGTGGGTACTATAAGTAGCGCCGAAAGAGGTCAAAGTTATACCGTCGTTTGCTGCATGAATCCATTGGGAAGATACATACCACCAGCTTTGATATTCCCAAGGAAGAAATTCAAAGTTGAACTCATGGACAATGCATTTCCCGGGAGTATCGGATACTGTCAGGAGAATGGGTGGATGTCAGGAGAGATTTTTCTAAAATGGCTAAAACACTTTGCCCATCACGTGAAACCTTCTGAAGAAAATAAAGTTCTTCTACTGTTAGATGGCCACAGTAGTCATAAAGGATTAGAAGTATTAGAATTCGCGAAATCCGTTGGAATAATCTTATTCTGTTTCCCTGCTCATTGTAGTCATCGTGTCCAACCACTAGACGTTGGGTGCTTTGGACCTCTTCAAACTTTTTATGACCAAGAAGTTCAAAACTGGATGAAAAATCATCCAGGTCGTTCCGTGACACATTTTCAGGTAGCGGGAATATTGAAAAATGCTTATATAAAAGCTTCAACTTCGTCGAATGCAATAAATGCATTCAATTAAGCAGGCATTCATCCATTCAACCCAGACGTGTTCGAGGAATGGATGTTTGTTCCATCCCAAACAACTGATCACAAAGAGAACGATTCTGGCCCTTCTGAACAGTGCCCAGCAGAAGAACCTCATTATGAAGAAAGACCTCGTGAAAATGATCAAGAGAGACCTCAGTCCAGCACAGACAAAAACGATTCTGCTGATACTCGAGATCAAGGTGACACATCTTCGATCATTACAATAGGAGATTTGATCCCTGTACCTCAGGCTCCCCCAAAAGAAAATAAAAATAAAAGGAGGAAGATCAAAACTGGATACATAAATTCTACACCAGAAATAGATTCAATTAAACAACAAGTAGCAGTGAAACAACAAAAGGAGCGGGAAAAGTTAGCTAGGGCAGCGAAAAGAAAACTTCCAGCCATCATAGAATCAGAAGATGAATTATATGGAAACGACAGCGACAATTCCGATGCCGCTTGTCTGTATTGCAATGAATTATATTCCATGTGTCAGTCGGGAGAGATATGGATTAGATGTCAAACTTGTTCTAGCTGGTGTCATACAGAATGTGCTGGAGTTGACAAGCGCACGAAAAATTTCATCTGCGAAATTTGCACTAGTTAGGGCACCATTTTTGGCTATGGAAAACTGAGGATTTTTATTTTCATTTCCCAGTATTTTTTCCGAGATTTTTTCTCACAAATTCATATATTTTATTTTTCTTGTTTAAACATGTTGATATGAATAAATTTGAAATGATGTTCATGGATTATTGACCTATTATGTACCTATGCCATCAACGCAATATGAGTATGCCATCATTTGCAACACATTTGCCAATGATGGCATAGTCACCTAATTTTTAAAAAGCATCTCTCACAGTGAAAATTCATAATAATCCATATTTGATACTTGCCAGATAATGAACAAACACAAGCTCATTCATTGGCATTTATAGACCGAATCAACACCTGAAGGTTTTTAAGTTATTGAACTTTCTCGTTAGGGGTGCCATCATAGGCATATCTCCCCTATTAACGAATATACTAATGCAGGTGTTACTTTCATTGATGCCGATTGTTTTTAGATTGAATCTAGGTTAACGTTTTGACACCTACAGACCTGTTTCGGAATTTTAACCCTCATCAGTGCTGGGTACTCACCAGCCCGCCAGCAGTCCTAAGACCACCAATTGACCGAAACCTGACTCAACAAATATTCAATCGGCATATTTGTACGCTATTGTAAGATAAATTTGTTACTGCAAATTTTTGTGAATATTTCATATAGTCTAGCGCAATCTTCAGCCTTCTGCTCCACATTGTGTTTCACTTGATATCCTCCTGAGAGCCTAATACCACACTTTTGGGATCTGAAGTCTGGTAGCAGGAAGTGAAAGCCGTCGTCATTTTCTGTAATCGCTCATTATTAAAAAATTAAAAAATTAAGCCATTTTTTTTTCATATGGGACACCCTGAATATTTCTATCCAGTTCGATTAAGATTTCGTATAGCCAAAGATTGTATAGCCCATCAAAAATATAAAATAGTTGATTTTTTTTTTTCCGAAAAACATTTGTTTGTCTCCATTTTCCAAAAATGAGCGATTATAGAAATAAAATGACTACGCCACCATATTATACGTAGACAGTTATAAAAGGCCTCGTTCTCATCCTGCCGATAAAGAGGCTCAATTTTCAACTTCGCCCTGTATCTCAAAAACATTGGGAACTGTGAAAATTCTGTTTGTGGCATTATTCGTTTCACAAAAAAGTAAGGCAGTAACGTGAAAACCGCAACAGTCTTTCTCCAAAGATAAGTGAGATATCGCGCAAAAGCATCAAAAACAGGACACACTGTACATATTCAAATTATTATTGATGATACAATTCATTCCTGATGGAAAAAAGAGTTTTCTCAATACAAATACAAACAAAAATAGTAAACATTCATGAACCATGAATCATTTTTGTTCGTTATATTTCAAACAATTATGCAAAGATTACAAAGTAGCAAGTTGTGTGCACAAACAAGTCAAAAGGTTTGTATGGTGTAAATCCGCCTATATGATGTTTCAGATTTCATTGAAGAGTAGTACACATCCCTAATAGCACGCAACCTCCTAGGGACCTCCCTTTTTGGTACAACTCAAGTCCGGATGTTCCGAACCTTAAATAATTGTCCTTGGGTACATAATTTCAAATGTCCTAGAAATAGCATCCTTTAGACCTTCCACGTGGTACATATAGTAGACTGTACATGCAAGGACGTCCTCAGCATATATATAGGACATAATTTTAAAAGTTCTGTCACGAACATCCATCGGATTTCTCAATATCTCTATATATATATTTCTTATAATAATATAATGTTCCTTCTAGAACAACCATGAAATATCCCAGACGGTACATTTCTTCAAATATCTCTGTATGGACGCCGTAATATTTCCAGGATCGTATAACATCCGAAATGACCCTTCGGGACATCCGTTGGATGTCCGAATTGGTACATGAACTGTTGTGACTTCGCAAGGAATCCCTATAGATAATCCATGTGTTCATCTAAGTAATAAGTAGGTACAAGAAAATTCTTCGGAGAATATCATTCCATAAGATGTCATGAGTACAACTTCTTATGGACGTCCCAAGGACGTCCTCAGAATGTCCTGGATACGATTCGGAATGTGTCCTAAGGAACATCAATCGGTGATATACATTGGCATCAGGACTTCAGATAGACATCCTATACAAATTTTCTTTACGCAAGCGAATGATAATTTTCAATGTCCTAGTAATAACGTCCTACGGATGTCCCAGTTGGTACACGAGATATGTTATCCCTGCGAGGTCGTTAATTTACACCTCGCCGACGATCGACTGCTTGTAGGCTATATAAGTAGGTACAAGAAAATTCTTCATAAGATGTCATGAGTACAACGTCTTATGGACGTCCCAAGGACGTCCTCAGAATGTCCTGGATACGATTCGGAATGTCCTAAGGAACATCAATCGGTGATATTCATTGGCATCAGGACTTCAGATAGACATCCTATGTAAATGTTCTTTACGCAAGCGAATGATAATTTTCAATGTCCTAGGAATAACGTCCTACGGATATCCCAGTTGGTACACGAGATATGTTATCCCTGCGAGGTCGTTAATTTACACCTCGCCGACGATCGACTGCTTGTAGGCTATATATATACTCCTCGTCAATGTCGTCAAGATTGACGCCTGAATCATAGCCTATAACAGATGTACGACTTCTTTATGCCACACTGTACCTTTCCCAAAAAGTGGAGTGGAAAAGATGAACTATCCATTGAGCAAGTGCAAAGCCACTTGTCAACCCTCTATAAAAGACGCTATACACTATTATAAATACATCCCGCATTCCCGAGCCTCCAACCCTCCCGACTTTTCCCCCACGTCATCTTCAAAACATAACCTAACCTAAGAACTAGTTTCAAACACGGAAAATACTCGCTACTCGTCATGCACCGACAACTTTCAAACTCGACATACCTCAAAGATCAAGAAGATATCTCGAAATTCGCGCACTCGAAATTTTCCGAAACGGCACTGGACGTTTGTTTTTCGGTAGTTTGATAAAGTTGGTGAAAAGTTCGTGCGAAGAAGGGAGCGCTTTCTCGTGAAAAACTTTTAGTCATCGGGCGATAAAGCGACGTTGCCAGAAAGGTGCCTCGGAAAAGATTTATTTGAAAGTGAAATTATGAGATTCATTACATTTGGAATCTATAAAAGTTATATTGAAATAACTTACGGGATGAATACAAAAAAGCTCAAGTCATTTACACAAATGTTCATTAAACGAACAACAATAGTAGGTGACGGGAGAAAATAAACAACTACTTTAATGCTGTGCTAAGCCACGCAGAATTTTGAATTACATCCTCCCGGAATCTATTCATCGATACGAATAAAAGAATACCAATGCCAGTGTTTCTTTTCCTAATGAAACAAATTAATATCGCAGAGGAAAGAACTCCGTTCATTTCACTGGAACAGCCTATATATATTTTTGAGATAATTGATAATATTTTGGTCACGATTTCAAATACATTTACCTAGGTTTATGACATTTAGTTTCTTTTTTTAATTCCAATATATTAGATTTGTTTATCCTTGAGGTAATCCCCTAATGAGATGGTGACTTCAACAATGTACAGGCACCACTACTAAACTCGAGAAATATTTTGAGTTGCTGAAATTACAAAAAAATCTCACGTGTTCAAGATAACTTTCAAGGATTTGTGAATATGTCAGGATAACTCCTTGGACCAAATTTTTCCTGGAAAGATCGAAATTTTTCTTCAATGGAAATCATATAGATATCTACAAATATCAGATCCTCAATTATTGAATTTGAAAACTGAATTAAATGAAGCAGAGTTCACCAACAGATCTCAATGGAGTTCATTAGATCACTCTGTATAACTCGCTGGTCCTAACCTAAGCTAGACAGTCTCAGCTCAACCTAGCCGAAGCTAACCTAACCTCGACATGTCCAACTCATAACTGTGTTAGTTCTGACCTAACCTAATCAAATATAGGTCGCGAGCACGAAGACCGACCCTGGAGGTAAAATATTGAAACACAACCTCACTCTTCTTGGAATTATTGAAACACAACCTCACTTTTTAATTTGGTTACAGAGGAATCAAAAGGTTCAAATAGTTTTTCACAATATTTTGGCATACGAATCGTGTTTCTTGCGTTATTCATTAATGCCTTCGCATTGTGCTATTGTACAATGCACAAAAAATGCAGCAAGAGACTAGGGAATATGATCTTCAGGTAAATAGTAATCTCACATAGTTAGCATTATGAAATGTTGTCATTCCTTATTAAAATTCCTTCTGCCTTCTGCCACTTCTGTAATACAAGCTAATGCTGCTAATAGATTGAAAATGTCTACAACACACACGATCGTCAGCATGTCAGACTAGTCCTCCCGATTGATTGCATGAATCCAACCTTCTTGCATTATTCTAGAAATTTCAGGTATATTTCTATTAGCTCCTATTGCAGAAGGAATTCCGATGAGAAATCAAAGAAATAACCAAATTTCAAAAATGAAAACTATGTGAGTGACTATAGTAGGTACTTACTTTTGAATCATAATGTACCATCCGGATTTCTTCATCTTCCGCTGCAGTTTTTGTGCATTTCACAACAGCACAATGTGATGGCATGAGCGAATTGATGAATAGCGGAAAAATACGATTCATATGCCAAAATAATTGTGGAAAACCATTTCGATCACTTGTAAACAAATATGTTTTGCCTCCAGGGTCGGTCATCTGACAGTTCTTGCACGCGACCTATAGGTCGCGAGCACGATGACTGACCCTGGAGGTAAAATATTGGAACACAACCTCACTCTTCACTTTTTACAGAGGAATCGAAAGATCGAAATAGTTTTTCACAATATTTTGACATACGAATCGTGAGAGACGAAGGAATACTATTTTTCAGGTAAATATAATCTCACATAGTTATCATTATGAAATGTTGTCATTCACTATTAAAATTCCTTCTGCCACTTCTGCAAAACAAGCTAATACTGCTAATAGATTGAAAATGACTACAACACACACGATCA